TATGTACCCTTCGCTAAATAGAAATCCCATACGAACTACATAGTCTCTAATACCACCAACTATCTTCATATATACATCCACCTCGTGACCCTACTACGATTGTGACGATTAGGTAATTAATTAAACCTTCTTAAGATCATACTTATTAACCAGATGTCAGAATCTGCTGCACCCCCATGTGCACAACTGAATAATCTCTAAATACTTCCGCATCTTCGATCTGGACGACATGTTGTAACAATGATTGAACAAACCTGGCACCCTTATAACCCCTCGGTGGTATCACAAACCGTTGGCGCATAGTTGATACCGAGTGCGCAATTTCATACACGAGTGGATGCAAAAGAAAATAAGATATATGCTTCAAGCTGAATAAATGTCGCACGATAAAGAATTAAAGAAGTGAATTCTTCCTACTAGCTTTGTAGCCTCTCGAAGATAAGTACAGACGTCTCCGTACTGATCTACAAGACTCTACTAAACTCGTTCGTGACTCGTAGAACCTATGAACCTAAAGCTCTGATACTAACTTGTCACGACCAAAAATCCCGCCACAGGCGTCGTGATGACACCTAGTCTCTAATACTAGGTAAGCCGATTTCAATTACATTTTTGAAGCCATTTTTTTTAATTAAATAAGTAATCAAAACTAACAGCGGGACAAATAAGAATATACACCCTCCCAAGACTGGTAGTACTGAGTCACGAACTCTAGCTGAATATATAATATGATCACGAGGACCAAATATACAATACTGTTTGATTAAAAATTAACAATACAATGAAATGAACAGACTCTAAGGGACTGCGACGACCAAACAGCTCTACCTTGAATTCTTGCGATCACACTCTAACTCTGTCCGGGTCAGATACTTCCAATACCTGGCTCTGCACAAAAATGTGCAGTAGTGTTGTAAGAGTACACCACGGTCGGTACCCACTAAGTATCAAGACTAACCTCAGTGGAGTAGACACGAGGTACAATCAAGACACTCACTAGTCTAATAACCTGTGCAATATATTATACAAAATAATACTGGAAAATAACTAGCAATGATAACAACAAAATCAACCAGTGATATAATAACAATGCAACAAAAACATCATAATTATTGCTCAGACGAATAAGGAACACAGGTACAACCAATTAATCAAGTCCTTCAAATATAAATTCTTTCGCCTATATGTTTTTCAAATAATAATTTTCAGGATATAATACTTTCCAATAAATATATTTTCAAGTAAAAGTCACCATATGACACCTCATTTCACAATCATAAAAATTACGGATCTTAGCCCACTTTCATTTTTTTTACGGCACCTCGTGCCCATATTTCTATCACCATCACACGGACCACTCACGTGTCAAAATATCAATGTATATAAGATCCGCAAGATCAATTTATTTTTACTAAAGTAAGGTTAAAATCTTTAAATCAAGTAAGAAATCAACAAAGGAATGAATTTATTTTAGAAACCATTTGGCTGAAGAAAATGACATTCCAATAAAAATGAAGCATCTGATAACTACTAATTTAGATGTAAAATTTATTAAATTAAAATATAATAGGAATTTCTTTTATTCGAAACAACTCAATTCTCGAAAACCAGTAAAAACCATAAACACAAATTTGTAGAATCTTGTACAAGGAGCCAAAGGCAATACAATACAACAAGGAATGAAAAACACATAATAAAATCAAATAATACATCACGGAAGAACACAAGAATTTACATATCACGAAAAAAAAAAAATAACCAAAGGCAAGTGCATCCATAGAAAAATATCAACAAAGGGCACACCCGAGGTACCGCCTCATAGTCCCAAAGTAAATATGTAGGGCAGGGGGATCTCCTAAAATACCGTTCCGTAGTCCCAAAGTAAATATGCAAGGCATGGGGATCTCCCGAAATACCGTTTCATAGTCCCAAAGTAAATATGCAGGGCAGGGGGATCTCTTAGAATACCGTTCCGTAGTCCCAACGTAAATATGCAAGGTAGGGGGAACTCCCGGAATACCGTTCCATAGTCCCAAAGTAATATGCAGGGCAGAGGGATCTCCCAGAATACCGTTCTGTAATCCCAAAGTAAATATGATTTTAACAACTGTACATCAAGTGATCATATATCATAAATGGCTCATCAAGTGCTCAAATATTTCAAATTGCTACGGAAACCAATAATACATCATTTTTCACAATAAGGAGCCCATGGCTCGACCATAATATGCACAAAAATTTTAACAAAAATATCCGGGAGTGAACAACTCAACAAAATAATATTTCACATAAATTCAAGGTGGAAATCATACCAAATCATCATATAAAAATAATTTTAACAAACAGGGATCTAGGCATGACAAATAGAGGATTTAATAAGTGCTAATAATTTCCAACTTAATATATAAGGGCGTCTAAGGATTTTAATCAATGAAATATGCACATATAAACCAAGTACGTACTCGTCACCTCGCGTACATGGTTTTCAATTACACAATTTCCACATAATACTCAATGCCTAAGGGTATTTTTCCCACTTGAGGTTAAGCAAGACACTTACCTTATTGAAGTTGCGCCGATATTCCAAAATCGCCTTCTTGCTTGGATTGACCTCCGGACAGCTCAAATCTATCCAAATTAATTGTATCACTTCATTAAAATTCATCAGAAACAATTCCGGATAATAAAACACTAACTTAAAATTTTATTCTAAAAAGTCAGCGCGGGGCCCGCCCCTCGGAACCCGATAAAATTTTTACGAAATTCGAACACCCATTCCGATAAAAGTTCAACCATACCAAAATTATCAAATTCCGATAACGGATCGCCCTTCAAATCTTAAATTAAAGTCTAAAGGATTTCTACCATTTTCAACCCAATTCATAAATTTAGTGATAAAAACAACAATAGATTCATGTAATTTAACCAAAATCAAGTTAGAAATTCTTACCCCAACGTTTCCCTTGAAAAACTCTAGAAAAATCGCCTCACCCGAGCTTCCTTGGTCCAAAAATGAAAGAATGAGACGAATTTGGACTTTATCCTGCTGCCTAGGGATTTGTTCTTCGCGTTCACAACCCTTCCCTCGCGTTCACGAAGAACAAATTCTCCAACAACTATTTTCAAACTCTTCTCAAATAGCCTCTAGTATAATGGTCATAACATTTTATACAAATTTCCAAATGACAAATGGTTTAACTTTCTGGAAACTAGACTCAAAGGGCTATAACTTTCATTTGTTTTTCATCTCCCCATTCCTTATAAATTGCGAAATATAATTTTCCAAAATCAGCCCTGTGCAACAGAAATTTCCAAACTCTTCCTAGACAGCTTGTAGTGTATGCACCATAACTTTTGGTACACAACTCCAAATGCCAAATGGTTTATCTTTCTGAATACTAGACACAAATGTTACAACTTTTATTTTTGGATCATCTCTAAATTCCTTATAGATTGCGAGATATGAGCCTCTAAAGTGAGACGACGAACAATAAAATTTTCTTTTTTGCGAACGCGAGAATCTCTTCGCGAACGCGAAGAACAAAGTCCAACAACAAAATCTTTCTTCGCGAACGCTAGGGGCTCCTCGCGAACGCGAAGAACAACACCAGAACCAGCAACCAGCAACATCAAAACACCCAAACTTGGTTCGGAACTACCCCGAATCAAACCCGAGGCCCCCAGGACCCCGTCCAATCGTACCAACCAGTCCCAATACATAACACGAACCTGCTCAAGGCCTCAAATCACATCAAACAACATCAAAGTCACGAATCATACCCCAATTCAAGCCTAATAAATTTTGAAATTTCAAATTCTATATTTTGTGCCGAAACACATCAAATCAATCTGGAATGACTTCACATTTTGCACACAAGTCATAATTGACATAACGAAGCTATTCCAATTTCAAGAATCAGATTCCGGCCTCGATATCAAAAAGTCAACCCCCGGTCAAACTTTTCAAAAATTCATCTTTCGTCATTTCAAGCCAAATTCCTCTACAGACCTCCAAATAATTTTTCGGACACGCTCCTAAGTCCATAATCACCATACGGAGCTATTGGCATCATCAAAATTTCATTCCGGAGTCGTCTTCACACAGTTCCGACTACGGAAAAAACTTAAGACTTAAACTTCCGTTTTGGGGACCAAGTGTCCCAAATCACTCTGAATCATCCGGTAACTGAATTCAACCACGAACGCAAGTCAATACACATAATAAGAAGCTGCTCAGGGCCTTATACCGCTAAATGGGGCTTAAATTCTGAAAACGACAAGTCAGGTCGTTACAGGTCTGATCCGGAGAACTAAGATCAAGGTCCACGAAATATGGTTTGAGCAATTCCTGGCATAGAGTCAGTTAATATAGGCAGCTGAAAGTTTGTTCTTTCCATCTTTGACTGCTTTGACCAGGTCAGTTAAGCGTAGAAACATGCCACTAACTCATTCTATTGCTAGTCATTAATACTTACAGCCTGTAAGATACAGGTAAGATTTATTTAATTTTCAGCCAACCAGGAAGCTATAAGCTCTTATATTAATATGCTTCAGCTGACAAATATAAAGTTCATATGCATCATGCACTAAAAAAGAAAGATAAAAAGTCCCCAATTCTTTAGCAGTAACATAAAACAAAGTTAATATTGCCTAATCAAACATCTGCATAAATACAATATTTCGCGACAATTAGATGAGCTTAAGTGGAAGGGGTGCAAAGCAGAAACATAGGAACTACGTTTCATTTCCATGCAAATATTATAGAAACAACTTCAAGCAGATTTTCTAGGAAAACCAGCAGATGATAAAACTAATTGCATAAGCTTCTGCTATTTGGTTGGTAATAGATCAAAAGTAAAGCAACTTAGAAAATCAATAATTATTTTTTGACATTGGACTTGGCTTCTTCAACCTATACTATGCAAATTCTTTAGTTATAGCCTGCCTTTACGTTTTCCACGAAAGAAAATCAAACCCAAGGTATTATAATATGGCAGATGTACAGTTATTGGCTTATATAAGGTCTTCAAATTAAAGAATGCTTTAAGAATTCTACCTCATCTCTATATTTGTCTTATATGTCCTACCAGAAACTGAAAGCAATGACATATCCAACTATTCAAATGACTTACGCAGACCCCTCTTTTTATCTCGTAAATAACTTGTTGTTGCGTTGCACGCCTCTGGAAATGCTTCTTAGTTGAAATGTAAAAAGCTTGAGAAGACCATTGATAAACATCTCATCTGTAATCATGGAAGAGGAAATTATATATCAGTTTTGCAAGCACGAAGTTCTTTTTTTCAGTTAAAACTTGAAAGTAAAATCAGCTCGATAACTCAGAGAGTAGAGAATATCGACTCTTCAACAAAAAGAAGAATGAAACATTGTTTGAGTTGTTACTTTCACTTTAATAAGTTGTTTCCCTGACAATTGCAGCTTAGCATTTGTACAAAAGAAATTTCACTTATGCTAACACAAACACTATATCAACTTTGTCTTCTCAATTTCTATACAGTATCTCAACTTGACCACCTAAATACGACAAATTAATATTGGTTGGACATTCAATTCTTGTAATTAAGAGAAGACTTTTAAAGCTTTACAAAGCTGGCTTAGAGCTTTTGAAGCTGGTTTTAGAGGAGATTTTTTTAAAACCTTTTAGTAGAGAACACTAACTTTAAAACATAACACTCACCAGAAATTAGTCAAATACAAAACCAGGATGTTGCAATTTCATTATATCCTTCCCTTCAATGATTGATGATATTGCACAAATACCTAAGTTGGCCAAATGCAGAATTAGTCCGATAAAATTGCATTCTTCCACTTATTCTCATTTCTCATTGTAGATCGAAATTTCACAACGTAAATCAGATGATTCACACTTTGTAGCCCTTAAGACAAACATATGAAAAGCCATGTGACTTGATCCCCCACTGTGTCATCCAGACATGCTCAAGCAAAAGAATAATGAGGTAAGTTACCTCAATTCTCAAGCATATGGCTCCTTCTAAGTTTAAAGACATGTAGTTTCTCAAGCGTTTGGAAGAGGCATGAAAGTTACACAGATACTTGGCAGAGAGAAAAAGAACAAAATTTTAGCATTGCTTCCTAAAAATAAAAATAGCATTTACTGAACTTTTTGAACCGCATACATATGGAAAGAATTTTATATAAGAAAGCTAGACTATGCAGTAACTTTAAAGTGAACTCCACACAATAACTTAACAAGGGACAATGCATATTTCAACCAGTTAACACATTCAACAAGATAAACAATCTTTCAAGTTTCCCCAGAGTAATCAGGATAACAAATAATGTATAGATGCTAAAGCTAAACTACGTAGTTCAGTATCAAGATTATACACTACTTATTTATTGTCATCGTGAACAGCTGATAACTTCTCAAACTCGGATGTTTGCTCTGCCACTATATGTTGCACCAAACGATTGTGAGCCGTGATTGATGTAGAAATGGACTATTAGAAAATAAGAATAAAGGTATAGAAGACAGAAATCTTTGCTTCTAGATAATTTTAAGAAGAAAATTCCTTTCAGATAAATATATGTAGACGACTCTAGCTGATGAACACCTTCATTGCTACTATTATGTTTCTTGTTTAATAATGAAAACTCTCAAATATATGCAAATTCCATTTATTCCGACTTTCTTGAAAAGCCCTTGAGCCCTTTCTTGCATAGAATATAGGTGCACCTTTCAGTCTATCGATGACAGGTTCACGAACTCAAGAACAACATAACCTCGGTTATTTTCAAAATAACCAGCCTAAGCTTAAAAAATGGTCTGCATAACCTCATTATCAATGAAAAGTAACAGAGACATGCATTACTTAATGATTTTCTGGCTCGAATATAATTTTACTTGCTCTGACAGCAACCATCCGTACTTTGGCATCTCTCCAATTTCACACACTAGAGAGCATAATTGTTCCATCAAAGAAGAACGTTTTCTCTTCACATGAAACAAAGTAACCGACGAAACAGAATATTGTTGACAATGTGGGTTGCTCTGATGGTAAGCACCCTCCACTTCCAACCTTGAGGTTGTGAGTTCGAGTCACCCAAGAGCATAGTGAGGAGTTCTTGGAGGGAAGGATGACGAGTTTCTATAGGAAACAGCCTCTCTACCCCAGGGTAGGGGTAAGGTCTGCGTACATACTACCCTCCCCAGACCCCACTAGTGGGATTATACTGGGTTGTTGTCGTTGTTGCTTCCCAGACCCCACTAATGAGATTATACTTATTTGTTATAGTTGTTGTTGCTGCTGCTCCAAGCATGAAAAAAATAGAGAAAAGTAGCCATAAAGGTATTTCGAAAAAACACGAAGTCGGAAATATGTGATTGACCACGCACATTTTTTAAAGCACTAAGCAATAATTAATTCATTTAGCTTCATGAGTCTTTCTGTTCCTCCTTTTCAAGTTTTTAAGAACTAAGTCACAGTATATTAGCAGCTAATGCTAGAGCTATTTTCTGATGGCAGTAGGCACGGCTTTCATATGACATTTTATCAAACACTTTATGGGCAACAATAGAATCTCTAATATTTTATCAAATCACAACATGCATGTCCAAGATGGGCAACAAAACAGAGAAATTAAAAGATGTAGCGTCTCAAGATAGAAGTTGTAATCAAGTATGCAAATATTCCTTATCCAAAATCTTAAACAAAGAAGCACTACGCAGAGAAATATGAATACTAAAAATAAAAATTCAGTAGAAAAAATAGATCTAAGAAAAAAGAACTCACCAGAAGATAACTCGAGACAAAAACCACCCAAAAATTCAAGATGTCCAAAACTTTATTGTAAAACAGGAACGAAACACATGCATTGCTGAGGAAAATGGAAAGAAGGTGTCTAATTCCCTGTAACACTCCTGATATTTTATATGTAAATGCCACACAAGACGGTGATTTGTGTGGTGTCCAATTTTCACGTGCATTGAATATAGAAGCACTTGGTTCTTCTAAATGTTCCTTAACCTACTGTTGTTGAAATAGTAAACACGAAAAGTAAAAAAATACAAGTATTTTTTTTACGTGAAAAACACCTGGCTCAAAAGGTGAAAAAACCACGACTTACTACTCAATAGGATTTTTCCCAATACTTCACTAAATCACTGAGCTAAAACAACATTTACAAAAACTCTTTGTAAATCTAAGGATTACCTCTAATCACGTTGTGGCAACTAGCCTCTAACTGTTGCAATAACTTCAAGTTAACTCTAAGTTGAATACTCAGAGTACCTGTTACAATTGCTTTTAGATAAAGCTGAAAGGTACAATTTGAAAATCACCTACTACAATTGAACTAGAATAAAAGACAGACACTTGGAACTGATTCTTCTATTTGGTCCACGTAGCTTCAGGTTCGCACACTTGAATCACACAAGAATTGCTTGCAAAATGCCTTGCTATTTTGCTCTAAACTCACGTTTAACTTCTGCTTTTGTGCGTGTCCCTGTAGAATGAGAACATCCTGCAATATATAGAGTTAGTATAATAAGAAACAACTAGAGTTCTAATGCTACTCTTCCTTGGTGGAAGAGTTCTAGTTATCCTCAACTTCTAACTCTTCCCTTATCTTGGATAGTGTTCTCTTTGAGTAAGAAGTCCTTCTCCTTATCAAATATGCAACTTTTTTCATCAGGAGATATCAGATATAACAAGTTAAGCTTATCTCTTTCACGTGCATCCTCATGCTCGAATCTGCCCGTGTCTGTGTACACAGGGAATGGACCTGGTTCATTCCTGAGCTTCCTTTGTCAATCTTCAAAATAAAACTTCACTTGGGCCAATAAATTCCTCATTTTTGATGATGGAAAACTCTGTGCTTTTCATAAGCTTAGGCCCTGTTTCAATTCAGCCCAACATCAACACAATGTTAGAACATTTTACCTTTTTAAAGTCACTTATCATCAAGGATCAGGTTCATTAGGTTATAAACATCACTGTCCAAAGTGAAAGCATAACCTTTTTCCCCCTTTGGCATCATCGAAAAGTTGCATAATAATGTTAGATAAACATATTTTAAATAGAAATTACTCATGGCCACTAGGGCTACTTCACATATAATCATGGATTAATCATCATATATTAATCTAAGGATATTAGCCATCTAAGAAATATAAACAAACAGTTAGAGCAAAAGACAATGAATTTCATTGATTGATAAGATCCTACCACAAAGCATAAGAAGAAATAAAATCATTGGAACATGAGCAAAAGAAACAAAAAAAAATCCCGAATTGGGTCACTGGTTGATATACTCTAGGCCAGGAGGCTTAAAGCTGGGAAGGACTAGATTCTTAGTTTTTGGCTTGGAGTAGTTTCAGCATATCCTGAAGAATGCTATCATTCTTCTCCTTTTCTTTTGCCAGCTCAGCTCTGAGAGCATCTCTCTCAGTCTCCACTTCTGCCAACCTCTTCTTCAGCCTATTAATCTTAGCATCCTTAGCCCCACTCTCTTGCACCAAGGCTCGCACTTTGCTATTCACTTGTACCTTTTGGAATGAACCAGATTCTTTAGGAGTGGTTTGGACTTCATAGTCACAAGCAGTCAGAGTATTTACTCCAAAATGATCCTTGCTTATACCAACCTCCCATTTCTTGATGGGTACTTTGAAGTGCGTAAGTACAACCGTGAGAATAAAGCCATAGGGTATGTCATGAGTCTTGGTGCCATTTAGAACCCTATCAAGAAGTTGGATTATAAATCCAGGCCAATTGATTTGCCACCCACTGTCCAAATATTTCATAAGGACCAGATCCATGAATGTGGCAATATGTCTCCTTTCCTGCTTAGGCAGCGCACATTTGTTTACAAATTCGAACAACACTTTGTGGGGTGGCTTCATCTCACTTTTGTAAATAACCTTGGTCTCAAGTTCCTTTTCATTGTCACCAAATTTCCTAGTAATGGCAAGGGCAGTAGGGAGATTCTCTAGATTTGGCCATTTTAGTTTATTATAATCATTGTACCCTTCAGCAGGTACACCCAAGATCTCTCCCACCTCTTTCTCATCAAAAGTTACTTTCACCCCTTTTACCACACTGGTGACCCTACCATCTTTTATCTCACAATTGGCCATAAACTCCATAATTTCATTTCTGGCCAGCCTACCATCCATCTAAAAGACCATGTACTTCCAGCCTTGCAACTGTAACTTCTCCAAAAGCATCACCATTACTTCCTCCTCCAAGTCCGTGAGGAGTCTGCCTTTCAAGATAGTCCTTTTTCCAAATTTGACCATCTTGTCTTTCTCAGCATCAAAATCATCTTCTTCTTCCTCTCCACTCCATTATTCCTCCTCCACAATTTTCACTTTTCTTGATTTCACAGCAGACTTGGTTCTTTAAGCCAAAGTGGATGGTTCAGCGGACTTTGACTTTGAAACAGACTTCTTTGTGGAAGTCTTGGCTTTCTTAGCTTTAGGAGTCAGAACCTCCACTTTTCTGTCTCATCTTCATATCGAAGGACCAAGTCTATATCATCAATTTCAAGAGCCTTAATAGGCTCACCCACTTTCTTCTTTCCCTTAGCAGCAATTTTTCTTTTACTTTCTTTTAAGGCTTTCTCCAGTTCAGCCTCACTCTGCTTCTTCTGACTTCTTGTGGCTCTTCCTCTTGTGGGAGGAATTTCAACAGGTATAGAAGAGGCAACCTTCCTTTTCTTGTTTGCCCTAGCAGTGCCAGGGGTGTTAACTCCTGAACTTCCTTTCTTCTTTGGATTGTAACTTGCAGTCACCCTTTTCAGTAGGTCTGCGAGAGTTTCCTCTTCAGATGGAACATGTTCATCTATATTTTTCCCAAGTTGAACCAGCCCCTCAGCAGTTTCTCCAGACCTATTTCCCCCTGTTTTGCTCACACTCTCTTTTATTCCAGCAGATTCCTCACCCTAAACAACCATTGCACCTGATTCTTTAGTTAGACTAACATGAGTGGGTGAAGAACCAACCACTCCTTTTCCCTTTCCCCTCACAGTACTCCGAGCACCCTCACTCTCTTTTTCTTTTCCTTTTTCATTTTTACCACCAACCCTTCCAGACTCAGTAGTTTCAACACCTGCCATGGATCCTACTAGCATAAATCTATTCTCCAAATTCGTAGCAACCTCAGAAATAGTTTCAGGAGTGACTTTAGGGCCAGATGATACCTGTTCAGTCTCAGAAGAAACTGTTTCTTCCCCCTCAACAGCAGACTTAAATGAGTCTTCAGATATCTGAGATTCCTGGATCTGGCTATCCTTCAATTGTTTATCTAATTTCTTAGATAATGTGCTCCCAGTCACAGTCTTACGAGCAAGCATCTTAGTTCTTCTTTTCTTAGACAGAGTGTGGTTGAAGGTGTGATAAATGGTGTGGGTGTGGTTTTCTTGGGTGGGGATGAAGGATTTTTAGAAGGGTTTGCCATTTCTATGTTTGGGAGCTTTAGAAAACGAGTTTGTGTGAGAGTAGAAGAGGAGAGAAGTTTGAGAGAATTTGGACGGCTTGAAAATTTAGAAGTGAAGAAACAAATGAATCNAAATCCTAATCAATATAAAGTAGAGGAGTTCACTTGAGTAACGACAGCTTTTGCAAAAGTCTAATCAAACTGCAAGTCAGTTTGAGAAGACGTTCAATACTATCCTTAGAATCTAGGCATTTAATGCGGTTAGGACTTCTTTTGAGCGAAACTGGTTCATTTTGTAACGGATAAGTCCAAAAAGGATTTGGGATTAGATGAGACTCTTCTTTTAATTATGATCCAAATATAATTATTCCAAATTATGCAGAGTATAGAATACATACCAAGTAATCTTGATGAATCAGGTTCTTCACTGAGAAATCTCTTGTGTAAATCTGAAGTTTTCAAGACAATAGAGATAATATCATTAGAGATTAATGAGTTATTTTAGCACATGGCACATGAGTATACTATTGAAAGTATGCGACTGAGCAAAATCTAATCTAACTATATACAAAATTTATAGATTTTCTAACCAATTATTTTTTTTCGATTGTAAAATTTTGAACTGGTCCTTTTAGGTGATCTTAGTCATCCCTAATTCTGACATATTCCTTTCAAAATAATCTCTACTTAGAGATTTTATGAAGATGTCAACTATTTGCTTGTCAGTAGTACAAAATTCCACAGTGATCAAACCCTTTTCATAGTTGTCCCTCAAAAAGTGATGCCTAACATCTATGTGCTTAGTTCTCTTATTATGAACCGGGTTTTTGGTCATACTAATTGCACTAGTGTTATCACAAAAGATGGGGATATAAATAACATCAATTCCAAAGTCCATTAATTGCTGTTTGATCCACAATAATTGAGCACAACATGAAGCAGCAGCAACATACTCAGCTTCAGCAGTAGATAAGGCCACACAATTTTATTTTTTGGTGGCCCAAGACACAAGACATGAGCCAAGAAAGTGTGCCATACCTGAGGTGCTCTTTCTATCCACAAGAAAACCTACATAATCAGCATCATCATATTCCACTAGATTGAAATTACTACCTTTTGGATACCATATACAAAAGTCAGTAGTGCCTTTTAGGTATCTCAAAATCCTCTTGACAGCAGTCAAGTGAGACTCCTCTGGATTCGCCTGAAATCTTGCACAAAGGCCTACACTGAAAATAATGTCAGGTCTACTAGCAGTGAGATACAACAATGAGCCAATCATTCCCCTATACAACTTCTGATCAACAGATGAACCAGGTTCATCTATATCCAACTTTGTAGCTGTTGCAATATGAGTGTCAATTTCTTTGGAATCTTTCATTTTAAACCTTTTAAGCAACTATTTTACATACTTCTGCTGATGGATCATAGTTCTATTTGAATTTTGTTTAATTTGTAAGCCT